CAGCATGGATTCACCAAGGGCAAGTCATGCCTGACCAACCTGATTGCTTTCTATGATGAGATGATTGGCTCTGTGGATGTGGGGAGATCAGTGGATGTGTTATACCTTGACTTTAGCAAGTCTTTTGATATGGTCTCCTACAACATTCTTGCAGACAAGCTAAGGAAGTATAGGTTGGCAGAATGGACTGTAAGGTAGATAGAAAACCAGCTGGATCATTGGGCTCAAAGGGTAATTATCAATGGCTCAATATCTAGTGCTCCAGAGTATCAAGTGGAGTGCCCCAGAGATTAGTCCTGAGGCTGGTTTTGTTCAGTATCTTCATCAATGACCTGAAAGATGGGATGGAGTGCACCGCAAGTGTGCAGATGGTACCAACCTGAGATGAGTAATGGATATGCTGGAGGGTAGAGCTAGGATTGAGAGAGACTTTGACAAATTGGAGGGCTGGACATAAAGAAATCTCATGAGATTCAAAACAGACAAGTCCTGCACTTAAGACAGAGCAATCCCATGAACCAGTACAGGCTGTGTCCTGACTAACTAAGCAGCAACGCTACAGGAAAGGACCTGGTGGTTACAGTGGACAATAAGCTGAATATGAGTCAACAGTGCGCCCTTGCTGCAAAGAAAATTAACAGCATACTGGGCTGCATTAGTAGGAGCATTGCCAGGAAATCAAAGGGAATGATTCTTCCCCTCTCTTTGGCACTGACGAAGCCACATGTGGAGTACTGTGTTCAGTTTTGGGCCCCACACTACAGAAAGGATGTAGACAAATTGGAGAGTCCTGCAGAGGGCAACAAAAATGATGAGAGGGCTGAGGCACATGACTTCTGAGGAGAGGCTGAAGGAACTGGTCTTATTTAGTCTGGAGAAGAGGAGACTGAGCAGGGATTAAATAGCAGCCTTCAGCTACCTGAAGGGTGGTTCCAAAGAGGATGGAGCAAGACTGTTTTCATTGGTGGCAGAACCAGGAACAATGGTCTCAAGTTGCAGCAAAGGAAGTTTAGGTTAGATATTAGGTAAATCTCTTTCATTAGGAGGGTAGTAAAGCGCTGTGGAACAAATTACCCAAAGAGGTTGAAGAATCTCCATCCCTGGAGGTTTTTAAGACCTGGCTAGACAAAATCTTGGCTGGGATAATATGGTTAGGCACGGTCCTGCTTGGAGGAAGGGTTGGACTAGATCATTTCTCAACCTGTGGGTCGCAAGAATATATGAAAGGGTTGCAAACAAACTTCAAACATGGATCAATAAACTTTAAAAATGGACTCTCCTTTAAAAGAAAAAAACATGGGAAACTGTGACTGTTTTCCTGCAGACTGTCAGGGCTCTAGCCTGCAAGTGACTGCTTGGGGTCCTCTGCCCCACATTCCCCCATCCCCTCCCCTACACACTGGGGGGCTGGGGCCTGGGGGCAGCAGTTCAGGAGTGAGGGGAATTGAACCGGGATTGGCCAGTGTTTACAAATGGGTCCTGGTACAAAAAACATTGACACACACTAGATGACCTCCTGAATTTCAATCCTAATTTTTTTACAATTCTATGATTCACTTTTGTTAATGTTAGTTTCAAATGTGTTACCTAAGTCCAGACTTTATAAACTTAAAAGATATATATGTATATAATTTGTATAAACTAAAAAGATATGCAAGTTATTTTGCTGTGTTTCATAAGTCACTTCTATCACTGTGTTGCTTTAGTAGGAAAGCAGCTATCATCTGTCCAATCAGTAAACAACCACCATGTGATCAGTCTTTCCAGATGAAAGAGGGATATTTCCTCAAACCTCCATTTTCATGCATCGTTCCAAACCCATCCACATGCCTACACAAGTTTACATAATTCACAATTCTATCTGCATTCTGACTCACTCTGAAAAAATGTCTACTACCAGAATATGGTAAGAATAATGTTTTCTGTATTAAATGTGACCCGAGTTACACCAACGTTCCGTTCTATATATTAGGATAGGCACATGCTATTTTATTCCATGATAAGCTTGTATTTTAAAGAATGTGCCTGGCCTTAAAGAATATTCATAACAAATGTTTGCAGGCTTGGTGAAAATATTTGCCATGCTTAATTTTAACCACATATAATCAATCCTTCTGAAGTCTACATGCTAGATCAGGAGTGGGCAAAATACAGCCCACAAGCTAGATCCAGCCCACCAGGCCATTCTATCCGGGCCCCTAAAAATGTAGAAAATTTATATTTATCTGTCCCAGGCTCCTGTCAAAGATGACAGGAACCAGGGGCGGTAGGACCCAGGGGAAGCCGTCAGGCTCCTGTAACAGCAAGGCCTGCCCAGCCCTGCCCCCCAGCCGAAGCCCCTGCCTAGCAGAGGCTTCTGACCTGGGACCCTGGGACTGGTCATGTCTCCCTGCACCAGAGCAGGAAATTCAGGTAAGAAGGTGGGTGGGGAGGCAGGGGAGGACTGTGGGGATCGCCCCAGTCCTCAGGGCTAGGCTGGCTTCTGCTGAGCCCCACGGTCCAGCCATGCAGCCAGGAGCCACATGGTGCCAAAGTGGGTGGGCAGGAAAGTGGGAAAAGCCACAGTGGGAGTGGGAGGGAGTGGAAGTAAGTGGGCATGCAGGGCTTGCATGGTGTCCCGGGGCCAGCACCAGTGAGGCCCAAAGCAGGGTGGCAGGAGTGCCAGGTGCAGGCCGGCAGGGGTCTGTGGAGCTGGGCTGAGCTGCGCCAGCAGGGAGAAGGGGGATCCAGCCCAGCTCCATACAGTCCCTGCCGGCTGGGACCCCACGCTCCTGCTCCGGGCCCTGCTGGCGCTGGCCCTATGACACGGTCACAGGTCCCACACTCCTGCCTAGCTGTTGGTGGCTTTCACATGCCCACTTGCTCCAATCCCCCTGCCCCAGCCCTGCAGTACAGGCAAGGTGAGCACACGCAACCCCGACCCCATGCTCATCCATCTGGTCTGAGCAGCAGGAGCGGGGAACAAACTGGTGCTCAGCGTGGGAGAACAGCAGCCCCTCCCACTCCTTGTGGCCAGAGCTTCCTGGTGCAGCCACCCGGGGCTGTCCTGTGCCTCCGCCATGTCACTGCTGCCAGCGGAGAGCAGGCACAGGCAGCCCCACATGGGCTGCAAGTGGCTGTGCCACGGAGCACTGGCGGCGGAGGGGGAGGCACCGCTATTCTCCAGTGCTGAGCACCAGTTTGTCCCATGCTGCAGCTGCTCAGCCTGGGCCCTGCACCGACTCTCGGCTCAGAACATCAGCAGCTGCGCACAAGCTGCTGCTTACAGTGGAAGAAAGCGGCCCCCCCTCACTGCAGCAGGCAGTGTTTGGTGCGGCTGCTGGGAGTGTTTGGCTACAATGCAGATCCTTTGCTGCCACTTGTGAGCTGCCCAGCGCGGCTGCTCCACACAGCCACTGCTGCCACGCTGGGCAGCTCACAAGCGGCAGTGAAGGACCCGCACCACAGCCAAACACTTCTGGAGCCAGCGCAGGGCCCAGGGCAGTGAGCAGACGCACACAGCGCAGTAACAGCCAGGCAGGAGTGCAGGGCCAGGTTACCAGGGCTCTATGGAGCTGGTTGCAGGGGCTCTGGAGCTTGTTGCACTGCACGAGGAGGGAGGTAAGGGAGACAGGCTAAGGTGGAGGCAGAGGGTTTGCCCACCCCACCAACACCAGCTGCTCCTGCTGTCCCTGGCACTGAAGCTGGGCTGGGCTGGCCAGCCAGCAAGCAGAGCAGAAGCAGGTAAGTGGCTGCAGTGGGCGGGGGAGAAGGTGCAGCGAGTGGGTGCCCAGAGCGCAACAACAGCCGGGTGGGAGCACAGGGCCATGCCGGCAGCATCCAAAGCAGGCTGGCAAGAGTGCAGAGCTGGGGCTACCAGGGGCTCTATGGAGCTGGGCTGGCTCCTCCGGGTAGCCATTTCCTTGTTCTCCCCCCAACCCACCAGCCAGCCGGCCCAGCTTCAGCACTGGGGATGGCAGGAGCAGCTGGGGCATGGTGCTGGAGCAGCAAGCTTGTGGGGCAGGGAAGCGGCAGAAGGGCAACAGTGGCAGATGGGGGGAAGTGGCGGCCAGTAGGAGCATGGGGCTGCGCTAGTTGTGCAGACCCCCACACCCACACCTCCTCACATTCCTCAACCACCCTCCCCCCACACACAGCCCCCCACAAAACTCACAATATACAAGAGTAGGACTTGATTTTAAGCTATGATACTATCACCTCTATGTACACCACACACACACACACACACACACACACACACACACGTAAATCAAGACAAAAATATTTTTTGAAATGAAATTAATGAATGTTGTAATACATGTTTGATTTTTACAATATAATTTGGTATTTTTCTGGTTGCAAGATGGAAGCCCTCTTGCTGAAAGGAGTACTTCCAGGGGGCAAGGGGAGGGACTTCTGGTGGCAAAGTTCACAGCTTAGGGGGAACTGCCAGTCCCAAGATGGTGACCAGGGGCAGGGTACCTATCTAGGGGTGGGGCTACCCATGCAGCCCTCAATGGCTTGCCAAAACTCTGTGAGCGGCCTTCTGCCCAAAATAACTGCCCGCCCCTGTGCTACATTCTTAGTTACATGAACAGTCATTGTTCACCATCTCAAATTGAGTGGTGATGATTTACACAAGGTAGGATCTGGCCAGGTAAGCTTATGCTTAAAATTAGGCATTTATATAAATGTATAAAAGGCTCAGAATCTAGATCACCAGCTTAAATCCAGCTGAGATCAAGTGTGATATATGCAGAAGTGAATAAATTACAGAAACTGGTAGCCCCCAAGGAAATAAACAGAAATGTTATTTTTTTCAATAGTCAATTATAATAATTTTACTTGTAACACCAGGCACCAAGGGAAGTTCAGCCATAAATGTGATTTTTAATTTAGAATGTCCTTTTAAAGCAGACACTACTTTAATTCTAAATAAACCAATGTATTTTGCAGGTATAAATAAAAATCAGATATTTTTCCACATTAAAAAATTGTAAAAATATGTACCAACCATCATGTAAATAAACATTTAATTTTTTACTGAAATACAGAACTTTAATTATAATTACACAAAATTAATTTTTAGTAATAAATAGTCACATTAATCACTTCTGGGGATTACTTTTGTCATGTTTCCTAATAATGTCCATAAGATTTTCACCTGTTACAACACTGTTCTGTAACTGTTTAATTCTCTGTTGTTCTCTTCTCTTTTGGTCATGAAGATAAGGGGAATTTAGCAACTGTGGAGGAAGAATGGTTCCAGTTGGTTTTACTCTCTTCACAACATCCCAGAAAAGCTTCTTACTGTTGTTATTTATAAAAGTAATCGCTGTTCCATTGTGACCCAATCTCCCTGCTCTTCCAACCTGAAAATGAAAAGTAACATGTATTTTAAATTAGCAATATTAATGTCTCCTTCTAAATGGGAAAAATTTGCCTTGCTTATAATATTGGTCAGACAATTGCATCAGCTGCATAAATGGCTAAGCCAAAACTCAATATATGTAGAGCTAGCACACCAACAATGTAAGAATCCACTGGGATGCATTAATAAGACCTAAACCTGGTTAAACCAAATACTCATGGTTGTACTATTCTTTAAAAAGTGACTTGCACAATACTTAAGACACATATATATTTACCTGATGCACATATTCATCCATACTCGAGGGCATATCAAAATTTACTACCAGTTTGACATTGACAAGATCAAGCCCTCTTCCAAGGACTCCAGTGCTTACTACAACTTCATACTTCGCTTGAAATAATCCCTGATAAAAAAAGGCCAGAATTACATTTATCCTCTGGAGGTACAGGATACAGCATTATAACTTGCCCAACAAGATTATTCAGTTGCTGAAGAAAAATGGTGCCCTACTAGGGGTCGGCAGCCCATAGCCTGGGGAATTTCAGCAGTCGGTGGGCTCTGACATGAGGGATTTTCATAGACATTAGGGCTGGAAGGGACCTCACAAAATCATCGGGTCCAGCCCCCTGCCCAAGGGGCAAGAAGTCTGCTGGGGTCAAATGATCCCAGCAAAATAAGCCTGCATGGCAACAAGCAGAAATGATTGGTGGCAGTGGCAGTACTGAACGGAGGAGCACTGACTGGCTACAAAATGGTACTGGCCAGATTGGAAATGGCCCACACTTGAAGCTAAGCTCCAATAAAGCACATCCCCTCCCAAAAGTAAACCACTGTCTGCCCCTGCCCTTCTTTGTTCTGTATTTCATAAGAGTATACAGAACTACAATTTGGAGATTCACTGAAACATCTTTTCAAGCAGTTTAAGAGCAAAGAATAAAGACAATCATAATGAAGATAACATTTACATTCTCAAACCAAGCAATAAATATTCAAGAATACATTAACAAACGAATCAATTTTACTGCCATTGCAATCTGTGCTTTTGTTTCAGTTCTCCAAATGCTCTATCAGTCACTGTGAAAGCACAGCAGTAAAAGGCAGAATTAGATCCTATTTCTCCCTAATAAACAGCATCCTGAAGAAAAAAAAATTGTCTGTAGTTTAAAACACAATTCCAAACACCAAATTTTGTGTAGTCTGAAGCTTTACTATAAGATAGTAAAGTAGCCATCTTAACATGATCTACTAACTCAAATTGATCATCTTTTTTAAAATGAAGTAGAATATTTTATAGTTACACAGAGCTTTCTGACTTGGTTCAAACCTGCAGTATAGTAGTTCTTTCGGTTTGGGACTTATCCGAATGTATGGATATGGACTGCAACCCTGTGATTTTATGAACAGCATCACTCAGCAGATCTGCTCCTAACTTGCAGTCTACAAATACCAACACAGGAGGCTTGAAGAGTTTCTGATCCTGTATAATTAGAGTAGATTTAATAAAACTACTTTAAATCACAGTTTGTTACTGGTCAACAGCAACTATTAATTTCTAGTTATTCATTCACTCTCTAATATTTGATACATTATATTGAAAGAAGCATATTTACATAAAGCAGTATATTTACATAAAAAGGATTTCTAAATTCCAAGTAAGAAAAAACAAGACTTATGCCATAATCCTGTGGACATGTGTGTGTCAAGATACACACAGGAACAACGGTTTGTAAATTCATAGGCAATATTTTAATAATTAAATAAATTGTATTTTAAATACAATAGTATTTGTGACATTAAAAAAAAAAATTAAACGGTTCTACGGTTCCCTTGTAAGAAAAGCCTGAAATAGTGAAAGGATTAAGGTCCACAGGGATTTTTCTTGGATTTTTTGGAAAAGTTTCATTAAACTGTGGCCAAAAGAAGTAAGTTAAGGATCCTCTACAATCTTTCAAATGGCATTTAAAATGACAAAGTACTCCTGCCTTTTTGTTTTAATAGGCACCATAAAAGAAACACTTCTATACTTAGTGGGACCTGCTGTATGCCATCCCCCTCCTCTCTCATTCACAAACATCCACTTGAATTAAATAGGCAAGACTTAACTTAAAACCATATAAATTGTTATACACAACAAGAACAATAATAATAATTTACAAAGTAATATTTACAAAATCCAAATTCTATACTTACATTTAATATTTCAAATAGTTTTTTCTTCTTAGATGGTTCTTCTACCCACAAGATAATCTGTCGAACATTGGCACATGGCAGGTTCTTTTCTCCAATAGTTATTCTCACAGGATGCTGAAGAAGCTGATTTGCCAACTGTTCAATACCTACTGGAATTGTGGCCGAAACCAGTATGGTCTGGCGATCAGTGGAGGTGTTTTCCAAAATATCCAGCACCTGCTGCTGGAAACCCATCTTTAACATGGTATCAGCCTAAATAAAGATATTAATTTATGACAGCATGATTGTTCCCAAAAATCTTTAAGTAAACAAAGAGCACCCTTAATCGCCAGAAAACAATTAGTGTGTTGACCCTGTCATCTCACTAATATAAGCTCTCTTTCTGGGGAGTCAGAAGACAGCCAAGAAGAGACAGACAATCACTGGACCTGTTCATGCTGATGTGGCACCATGGCAGAGCCTTTGCTCTAGCAATCAGTGACAGAAACTGACTACAGCCTTCAGTGTGTGTCAGTCAGGTATCTCTTACATAATACATTTACTTTTTAATACTGAGAAGTATAAAGTATTTTTGGAAATAAATACTTCGCATATTTAATGGATTTAATCAAGCACCCCCACTGAAACTACTTATAAAGGTATTATGTCCATGATCCAGAAAATCACTAAACTACATGCTAAACGTCAAGCACATGGCACAGTCATATGAAGTCAGTGGATCTACACATATTTAAGTTAAGCACTTGCTTAAGTACTTTACTTTATCAGGGCCTGTATTTTTTAAGTGCTACTATATAACTGTACTACTAAGAGTGCTTTAATAATTGCCACTTCTCATGAGATTTTGATAACATTTGCTTCCAATTTCAGTATTTAAATGCATCTAAACTTACTTCATCCACAACTACGATTTTTATATCATGGAGCTGAACACAGCTTTGTTTTAAAATATCTAAGAGTCTTCCAGGTGTTGCTATTATAACCTAAAAGAAGAAAGCAACATAACATTAGAAAAATTAAGTTAACATCAGTTAAAAATTGTGTGCAATTTATATGACATCTTTGAAAATATACTACCATATTTTACATTAACATACACAAGCATTTGAGGATAGAAATTCAAGATGTAAGCCATTATTATCAGGGACAAATGACTATTATGGGCAAGTTAGTGAAGTATAGCACATTAATATAATCATAAACATTTGTTTAATTCAAGTGTCAAGACAAAAAAGAACTGAAACTCCAGAGTTTCAAGTACATGATTCTCCAAAATTGTGTACATCTGAAAGTCAATTAAATCTTTAGTCCTCTAACAGAATTTATGAATGCCTGCATGCTGTGCCAGAAAAAGAGCATATCCTTCAGTCAAGGAACTAATGTGCTTTCTGTTGTAAATTATATTTCTTCATTTAAGAAAATGGAAAATGTTAGTCTTTGAAAGCTGCAAAATATATAAATATAGTTACAGATTTCAAAAGCTTGTTTCCCCGATGTGTAACACTCAAAACAGGTACATAAAATTATTTTCATTTATAAAGAATTTAATATTCTATGAATACTCAAGAGCTAATCTTTACTTGTAAGAGATTAGATTCACTGTGTAAAATATGCACTTCTCATTTAAGTCAAACATTGAGTCTTTAGATAGTTTTCACATTCTGTACACAACTTAAAAAGAGCATTCTTCACAAGACTCCTTCATATAACAGTTCTTACCTTAACACTTTGTTTAAGGCGATGAAGCTGGGGCGGTAACGGTAAACCTCCAACCAAGAGAACTGTCCTCATGTTTGGCAGACCTGTCATCAGCTCCTTGGTTTGTTTCTCTATCTGAACTGCTAGCTCTCTTGTAGGTGTCAGAATAAGTGCAGATGGTGTTTTAATCTAAAAGGCAAAGAATGCTTCTGTCCAAGATAGAATTATTTCTTTCTTAGGCAAAAATCTCTCAACACAAATCTCCTTATAGCGAATATAATTATATAGCTAGTGACATTATTTCACAGACACAGAATAAAGAGTCAGGGGTTGCAGCTGTAATTCTACCTAGTGAAGAAATCTATCCCCAAAACATTCAGCCTCTAAAAACAAAACTAAATGTAACTTGTGCTTGCACTGTCACAGTGTTGTTTTAATTTATCAAGAAGTTATAGAATATGTGGAACAGCTTATACCAGTGGACAGCAATTGATAATGGGTCTTAAAACGTGAACTTTTTCAGCTGTGGGCAACTATCACTGAGTATTCAGTAATACATTGAATTATGTACTGCAAAAGCAAAAAAAAGGTTCATGCTTCCGGCTTAAAAATGTAAAACAAAAAAAGAAAAGAAGTATTATCTAAGCATGTGACTTGAATTTTCTCATCCCTAACACTTACATCCCTCTGTACCTCTAGGCAAATTATTTAACCTTTCACCTCAGTTTCCTCTTTGGTTAAAATGAAAATAATCAAACATATCTCCCTTCCTGACATAAGTATTACTTTGTAAGGTGTTTTGAAACTGAAAATTGTACAACAGGATCAGTAATGTCAGTGGAGGAAAGTAGACACCTGAGGCCCCTATTAGAAGAACATTAATTACTTTAAGGCATGTGAATAGTCTTTTTTGGTACCTATACACATGTCCAACGTGTTGGAGCAGACTCAGTTAAACACTCCAGCAGCCTCAGCATCGCATATATTCAGCACCCTCATGCTTCAAAATGATGGTGGGGTCACTTTAACTAAAGGATGTCAAACGAGCTTTAATTAAAGCACCCTCCACCGCAATTTTGAAGCATGAGACACTGAATACACAAGACGCTGCAGGCTCTTTTATTAGAGCAGCTCCCAAGAGCCACTCTAATTAAAGTGCCCCACCACCACCCCAAAGCCTTTGTAAAGAGGCCCACTGACTTCAGTGGTACAGCTCAGATGCTTAGTTATGCATGTCCTTCAGTACGTTGCTGAATACAGCCTAAAGCAAACTAGCTAAAAGAAAACAAAACAACCCCAATATTAATCTAAAAGAGATATAATTCTCATTCACTAAGTCCAATTTAACCTGCTCTGACCATCAGTATAAAGCAGGGGCGGGAAATTATTTTGGGCGGAGGGCCGCTTACTGAGTTTTGGCAAGCCATCGAGGGCCGCATGACAAGCAGCCCAGGGCAGATTAATATTAATTTTCTAATTTTTTTAGGGGCCCCGCAGGCTAGATAGAATGGTTTGGTGGGCTGCATCTGGCCTGCAGGCCACATTTTGCCCACCCCTGGTATAAAGCAATTTTTGCTCAGTTCAGAACTACTTTACACTGCCCAAATGGTATACCAAGCCCTTAATGTCAGTGAAAATAAGTCCCAGAATTTACACTTTAATAAAACATAAAAAAAGATTGCGTCACCTATGCGGTTTAACTTTATTTTTATTTTTACCATTTAAAGTTTTCACTTTCACATTCTTCTAATTCAGATCGCCCTATAATTGCTTTCCTTAATTTTGAAGTATATACTAAAGAAAGACGGCAGCCCAGGAATTAACACTAGAAAACAACACTCTTAGATGTATCATTATTTTTCTCCAACATTAGCAGATAACAGAACCAGGAATTAACCAAGCAGAATTATCTTGATTACTATTTGCACAAGTATGACAACATGCTGAACTGTAATTTCATTTTTTTTTTTACAGTATAAATAATACAGCTGTAAAATAACGTCTACAGTTGTCTAATTCTAAAAATAATATTTAACTAGCTTGTTTTCCCCAACATTACCAGGAACAGACTATTTCCAAAAAGAAAAATCTATTTTACCTGCTAGACTATCATGTTTATTCAAAATACTGCTTACCATTAAAAAAAAACAGGGGGCTTTATTAATCCATGTAAACTTATACTGTCATCACCTCTTTGCTTTACCCTCAAGAGTCTCAGGCCAAAACAATAGCCATTCCATGGCTACTCCTAAAGCTTCAGGGCTACAATAGCCATAGAGTATGTTGCAATATGACTATAAAAGGTTGCTCTTCATCTGATACCTCACCTTTGACCTTACCACCATGGGTGACCCTACTAGGAGTACAAAACTCCCGACAGTATTGCTCTTAGGGTCATCAATGCATGCAAGCCTCTGTACCCTGTCAAGGTGGCAGTCCATGGGGAGGGAAGAGCAGTCCAACACAACAAAAACCTCAGCAGTGGAGCAGGTGGATGAAAAGGGCATACTTCTCAACGGCTGTGAGGTAGATGAAGGCTGCAGTGGAAATGTAACCCCAGTCTTGGATCTCCTTGCCATTGGACACAGGTTTCTCCACCATCAAGATCCGTGTGGTTGCCAATGTGCAGTAAGCAAATCACATGCAAGCTTCTCCCACTGGATCCATCATCTACCACAATAACCAATTACTAATACCCATAACCTCTACAAAGTCCTGCAGTGATGGACGAGTGGCGACAGGGACAGATGAAAGGATTGCTGGGTGTCCCTAGTTATAGATCCACATACATGCAGCAGTCGCATGTTGGTTGATTCACCCTTGGAATGGAACAGGAGGGTGATTTTGCAGCTGTGATCACAACTCAGCAGTCCTTTTTAGGATCCCCTCTGCTCACCCCACATGGGGAGGGGGCTAGAAAAGGTGCCCCAAACATAGGTGGTCCCACTTTATCTTGCCCACCTGGATAACCACTTCCAGGGGAATCACTCAAATTGCAGTCAAAATACAAAAAAGTCCTTTGCATCCTGGAATGTACGAATTCTACTAGACAACCCAAGCAGTGACAGACCTGGACACAGAACAGTTGCTGTCGTCCAAGAACTCTCATGATGCAGCATCGATATCATTACTCTCAGCAAAACCAGACGTCCAGATGAAGGCCATCTGAGGGAAGATGGGGTGGCTATATGTTCTTCTGCAAAGGGAAACTTGCAAGCAACAGGTGAATACACAACACTGGTTTCACCATTAAGAACCAGATTGTTAGCTGAATGACCAAATTCCCTGATGCTATTAACAGGGAATTTGGCTTATGATTCTCCACCTTCAACTGACCAACAATTCATTTGTTATTATCATCCTTGCATGTGCCACAATGCTCAATGCTGAGGAAGAACAGAAAGAACAGTTTTACACTAACCTTGATGAAATCCTGACTATCATCCAAAAAGAGAATAAGATCATCCTCCTTGGAGATTTCAACACGAGAATTGGCCAAGACTTTAGCATGTGGAAGAGAACCATTGATAAGGAAGAAGTGGAAAAGGCTCATTCCAATGGCATCCTCTTAGTCAGTAAATGTGCAGAGCATGACCTTGTCACTACTAACATTATCTTCAGACAATGTGACAGATACAAAACAACACGGCAACACCCCAGCTCGAAAAGATGGCATCTCTTCAACTAAGTAATCAAAAGAGCACGTGATATAAAAAATGTTCATATCACACATGTTATGAGAGGAGACAATGACTGCTAGACAGACCATTGCTTAGTGAGATGAATCATGTCCACTAGGGTTGCATTTAAACATCAAAAGCAACCCAAATCAGTCCAAAGAGAGTACAACATCAAACGTCTTCAGATACGTAGACACCACAAAGCCTTCCAAACAAATCTTAGAAAGAAACTCACCAATCTTAGGACTGAAAATGATAATGCTTGTGTTAAGGAAGATTGGCAAGCTCTAAAAGAGACTATGCATGAGGCTTACACGGAATCAATTGGCTTTATCATCCAATGCCATCAGGACTAGTTTGATGAAAACAATGCTGAGTTCAAAGCCCTTCTCAACCTGAAGAGAATAGCTTTCTGTGACAGGCAAAATCATCCTACGCCCAGTCAGAAGCAGGGAATTTTTTGACAGCTTAAAGCTGAAGCCCTAAGGATGATTCAAGAAATAAAATTTAAAAATGGTGGGAAGAAAAGGTGAAAGAAATCCTACAATGTATTGACAATCATGACATGCAGAGCTTAATAAGGCAATCAAGGCTATGTACAGACCAAGCTCTAGCAGACTCACCTCACTTAAAACTGAAGAAAGCAGTACACACCTCAAAGACAATAAGTCCATAAAAAACTGCTGAAAGGCGCACTACCAAAAGCTCCCAAATTGAAAGTCAATGATGAAAACTATCCCATAGCATCTAGTAAGGGAAGCACTTGCCAGTCCACCAACCTCTGAAGAATCCACCAGGTGATAAAACAGAAGACAAAAACAAAAGATCTTCAAAGCTGGTGGGGAAATTATGACCAACAAGCTCCACACACAATCTGGAACACTAAGGAAACTCCTGCTGACCTAAGGAATGCCAATATTGTCATTATTTTTAAAAAGGGAGATAAGTCTGTCTGTGATAACTATCAAGGTATTGCCCTCCTCTCCATCACTGGGAAGAGCCCTGAACCAACTGCTCCCTCTTGCTGAGGAAAGCCTTCCTGCATCTCTCTGCAGCTTCACACCACCGAGAGGCATCACGGACATGATTTTTGAAGCCTGGTAGATCCAGGAAAAATGACAAGAACAACACAAGGAACTATAGATGTCCTTTATTGATTTGACCAAAGCCTTTGATTCTGTTAACCATGAGGCTCTATGGGAAATCTAATCAAAGCTTGGCTGGCCAGGGAAATGTATCACCATCTTAATACTCCTTCTTGACTACATGACTATCTCCACCTTACACAGCTGCTCCACTACGGAGCCCCTTGCAATTGGAACTTGTGTCAAGCAGGGCTGCATGATTGCACCACTTTTGTTTTCTATCTTTCTTGCAGTCATCAAAGATGTTCATCCATGACCCTCTGCCATATGGCACAGAGTACAGAATGGATGGGAACCTTTTCAATCTCCCACCTCCATACCAAAACCAAAGTTACTTCAGCTTCAATTGTGGAGCTTCAGTACGCCAATGACTGCGCTGTTGGTGCACATACGGAAAACTGTCGCACAAATGCCAGTGTCTCAGCGATATTAACACCAGTATGGAAGCATTGATTATTCAACATCAGCTGCAGTGGACAAGGCACTGCATGAACATGCTTGATGCACAGTTACCAAAACAACTGCTATACTCCTCATTCAGCCAAGGACAAAGGACATGCAGAGGCCAGAGAAAACCCTTCAAGGACACCCTCAAGGCAAACTTTAAGAAGTGTGACATTGATACCACAACTTGAGAAAAAATAGCCTGGGACAGGGCTACATGGCGATGCCTTGTGAGAGAGGCTGCATCTTACTTTGAGGAAAACCATCTCTCCCTGGAGGCAGAGAAATAACAGAAACAGAAGAAAAGGAAACAAGACTGCAAAATCCATGATCCGACCCTCCCTTTAACCACCACCCGTGGCATTTGCCAAAGAGTCTGTGGCTCTAAAAATTGGCCTTTTTAGCCATCAATGGACTCATTTACAACCCTTTACTTGACTCATGAGAGTGATAATGCTCAATTGTGAGGGATCGCCTCTGATGACAATAAAAGACAGTTGGGAGGGAAATACATTGTACTGGCATAGTCAGTGACTTACCAGGCTTAATTCTTCCCCTTTACAGCCCCCAAAATAATTTCTAGACTTGTGCAAACATATGGTTAAGACACTCAGTATCTTCTCCCATTTGAAGGAAAATTCTAGTAAGATTCTGGTGCATTAGGAACTGTCCAACCCAGAAATGCCAGCAGTACTTGAAAAAGTAAGGCCACACTATTCTGCACCCATTCCACTCTCACCCATAATAGCCAAAAGTTACTATCCTAATAGCACAGTGACAAGTAAACTAGTTTTTCAGATGGCATAAGCAAAGTCATTGGGCTATATGTACGTCATAGTATGTTAAAGAAAAACAAAAAATCTGGTTATAGACAGGTGAATTTAAACCTATAAAAATATTAGTGTTCAAAGAATAATCTGCATTGAAAATGTATCATATGGCACCTTGGAGCTGAGGAATATAATTGTATGAAAGATCACCCAGTACTTCAAGATCTGCAATATGGAACATAAATGTCTGTTAGTCTGTTTTAACTTAATTTGTATGTTAATGCTCAGGATTAATACTCAAGCAAAAAGGAAAACTACTGAAATACATATTGAGGTACACATACTGACCACCTCCCACCAGTGAGGGTGTAGGAAGCAATAAGCACAGAAATGTGTTTCAAATGTTTAAAAATATCTTATTCCCTGAAGTCATCTAGCTGCTTAATGACTGTCCCATAAAGATTAATCTGTGAAGCTGAATGAATACCAGAAACCTCTTTACCACCCCCACATTTATAATGGCACTGAACAATGAATGATGGGATATCAGCTGCAATTGCAAAGTACCCAGAAAGTTGAAAAAATAGTTAGGAAAAATATCATAAATGTACTTTCAGAAAGTTACTTCTAAGATCAAAAGAAAACTATGTACCTGATAATGCCAGTAAACAAATTATATTTTCTGTCCACTAAACTAGAAAATGTTAATTAGAAATATAAAGACCCTTTAAAATGCAAAATAAACCAATGAGCTTCACTACAGATTGCTGGTTTGTAAACTACGTTGAGGGCTCTGGCGTCATTATACTTTGCCAATTTGTTCTGAAGATATACCTAAACTTTCATTACCTCTTCCAAAGCTTTAATAATAACTGGAAGCAGGAAGGCCGCTGTTTTTCCTGATCCTGTGTCTGCACTGGCCACAATATCCCTTCCCGATAGTCCAACAGGAATCATCTGCATCTGGATAGGTGTTGGAACTTCATAGCCTGAATTCTTTAAATTATAGTTTAAAATTTCAGGAAAACCACAGTGTTCAAACTCTATAATAGGTCTTGGAACGCCTTGACCCTGAACAGCAATACCTAACTGCAATTTAAGGTTCTCAATTTGGTCCTCTTGTAGACTTAAAATAAAGGGATGTTCTTTATAGACATAAGGGATGTCAAGCAAAGTTTCTTTTTGAGATTCAGGTTTCATAACCCCATCAGATTTTAACCATTCTTCTTTTTCCTTAACGTGCAAAAGGTTTTTGGCTTTGCATTCCAAGCTACAAACATCTTCATCTGTTTTATCACAAATATATTCCCCATACCGACCACAAACAATACATATGGGTTCTCCAGGTTCTGCCCAACGCTGAAATTTGCTAAAAGATTTTATGGGTTCTTCCACATTAGAGCTGTCTCCATCAGCATTTTGGTTGTCTCCTCCCAAAGATGCATCAGCAAGGTGAAAGTCTGAACATGGAGATACATGTGGCTTTGCGCATTCTTCTACTGTTTTACATACATGATGTCCACAAGCAGAAGTTCCTTTAATAGCTGACTTAACATCACTAAAGTCTGTAACCTCCTCTAAGGAGGGCTCTCCAGATGAGGACTTATTTTTCTTAGCAGTACAGCTTTTGTCATCGTCAGCATTCCTCTTGACTTTAAGAGACCTTGGCACAAACATTGTTCTATAGTCTGTGAAGAAAAAAATTGTAATTATTAAAAGTGCATTATGTCTTAGCGGTAATAGCTTAACCAAGAAAAATAACTAAATGGCAAGACACTGACTCATCATATCCCATATACCCAAGAGTTAGTTAACAGTTGCTTTAACTCAGAATGCAGTACTAAAAGCCTTAGAGACCAATACACTTAACGGTTCTTTGCCTTTCTATAACACCAGAATTGAAAATATTTATGTCCAATAACCTTGTGATGTCATCTGGATACACACTACTAAACTTTCCACCTTGAACATGGAACTGATTCTTATTTCAAACATGACACCCTATTATCTGCATTCCCATTACCTAATCACATTCAGACCAAATTGCCTACTAGGAATCTGATACTTCTCACCTCATTTGGCACCTTCATCCTTATTACCATCCTTCTATCCCTACGGGTATATTTAAACTGTAATCCAAATATGCAAAAACTAAAACTAGAGAAGATATATTCAAGCTAGCTTTGGGCTAGCAGGACTTCTGCAGCAACCTAAGCTTCAGGTGCTGAGTATTTACTAGAGGTGCACCGATATATTGGTCCATATCGTATCAGCACCAATAAAAGAAAAACTGACGTTACTGGCAATTGGCTATTTTTGGCCGATGTGGCTCATAATGTCATGGAAAAATGCCACATGCATGTGTATAGCCGGTAATACAGGCTGGCAGCTTGGAGAGCAGCCTCCTGCTGATAAGTCCGTGGGGGAAGGGGCATGGCGGGGTGTAAATCGAAGCCCCCATGGTGAGGGAGAGAATGGGGCTGGGTAAGGCACTGCCCAGCTGGGCCAGGAGGCAGGGTGCAGGTGGCTTGTCCAGGGACACAGAGGTGGGCAGCTCCCACCGCTGTGTGCACCCCCGGGGGAGGCATGGGGGGGGGGTGTGTGCCCCCCATATTTGTGCACAGAGCGAGGGCAGGCTGCCTGCTGCAGGCTTGGGGACTGCACCAGCCTCTTTCTGGAGTGGGGCTGGGCCGAGGCTGCACTCAGGGCAGCTGGGGGCGGGGTGAGACAGGCGGCAGTGGGGTAGAGCAGGCAATCTGCCCCCACCACACCCCATTCGCCCCTACAGAGTTACCGGACAGATGCTGGTCTCCAAGATGCCAGAATGCATATTGGCAATCGGATCAGTATCGGCCGATATGGCTGGTTAATAATCAGCCATCGGTATTGGACAAAAAAATCTTTATTGGTGCACCCCTAGTATTTACCAGGGCCCCAGGCAGGCTTATGCAGCTTGGGCTAAAGCTTTCACTGCCACAGCTAGCATAGCTATGTGAATTACAATCACATCTCTAGATTGCAGTACACACACCCCATTTGTTAGGGGCCACCCACCTATTCCTTCACATTCTTCCCATTACCCCCACCTGTCTCTTTATTCCTTCCCCTGACAAACTGCCATTTAAGCCTTCTTAATATGTGTATGTCCCATACAGAATGACAATTAGTAATTTTTGTGTAAAACTGAAAAAGTAGCCCATAATCTTTGTGATGACTACACGAATCAACACCTCACCCCAAACATATTGTATAAACTTCATCATACCTTTCTTAATCCTTACAATGCCACCATTTTGCCTTCAAAACTGTATTATGTCAATCTTAGGCCTCAATCTTCCACATAAATCCACACAGATGGTCTACCACTCATCCCCTCACTTTCAATATGTGACTTCAGTCAAACAAATTCTACCTGTTATCCTTTGGATGCCAGAAGCCTCAGATTATACATTTTGTAGAGCAAAAACAATGACTTGTGCATTTACAAGGCATCCAGCATACTTTGAATTATGTAAATAAAAATATACTAATAGGTAAAAGGTGGTTTTCTTGCACAATAATAAAGTAGTACTGGTCAATTGTGTAGTCTCTGTGAATATTACATGCTAGCCAACTGCCCATCAAGAATGACGGGGGGGAGGGGGAAGCAGATGGGGATGGAGCCCCATGCCCCATCCCCCCAATCCAAGCCTGCTTCCCCCTTCCCTCCTGCTGCTTGGGGTCCGGGCCCATCCCACCCTCTCCCCCGTAAGCATCTCATGCAAGGGCTCCCCCCATTCCATCCGCTCCATTGTCCTCGCCTGCAGGGAGCAGGGGAGGAGGGCAGGCAAGGCCTTGCCCCCGCATCCTGTCTCTGCCATCATGGCAACACTCCACTGTCACCAGCTCCTGTTCGAACACTTGTTCGCATTCTGATTGGCTGTTTGTCAGCCAATCAGAGCGCAAATAAAGCGCGACAGACAGACAGACTTAGGCTTTTATAATATTAGAATGTATAACTGAAAATAATTTGTGAAAACACTTTGCCTAGATTTTATTCACCCTATTTGGCTAGTTGAATACAAAAATACATACGAACTTACAGGTTTTAAAAACACTAATACCATGCAAAACTATATTTAAAAATAAGGATCATGTTAAAAAATAATTATAGTCAATATATTATTTTACCTAACGTGTAACATTACCTAACATTTCCATTAGTAGACATTGTTTCAATTGGTTATAACTTTGCCAAAGTTTTAACAAATGCAATGAAATTTTGCATTCTGATTGTTGGTCTCAAATTGACTTTCTTGGAAAGTTTAGTTGCTTCCAAGACTGGGGTACAGAAAAATGAGTTGTTTTGCTTATAATCTACTTAAATATCAATATAATTTCTTAAGAAGCTCAAACATCACTAAGCTCTACAGCAAAGACTTGAAATTTGGCAAGCATCTCCTCGAGGCCACAGAGGTACCCTGTAAAAATCCACCAAATCTGAACAAGCTGTAAGCCACTGGAAATTGTCACTTTTACTAATGTAGTATTGTGTGCAAAAAAATTGTGTAAAATCAGTTATAGACAGTCTTGTATTACTTATCCACAAGGAACAAGACCTAATGAGCTACCTTATTTCTGGCATTCCGAACTTTTTGGTTATCTAGTGCTTGAACAAGACTTAAGTCTACATCCACTATCTAAATTTCTGATACTCTGAACTTTCTAGTTACCTAGTGCTTGACTTCACTCACTTCATGATCTCTTAACATTTTTGCTATGGCATTTTGTTTCAAAAGTCAGACAGTCTGTATGCCTGTATGCAAAGCAAACTATGTTTTCTAAATTAATATTTTTGTATGCCTACCTACATTTTATTTACAATGTATTATTCTCTTACTGTAAAAAAAATCCAGTGCATATGCAAAACCTTATGCTTACACACCTCAAAGCAGTTTAAGTAAACCTTACAATACAGACATCAGATAAAAGACAAGTCTAATTCTATACAATCGGAAAAATGTCTGCACAAATAGTTTAAGTGAAGTTGTGAAGGTCAACCACACAGTGAATCAGCAACAGAACTGGATACAAAACCCCTGAATATTAATTTTTTACTGGCATTTAAACCAATCCCTCCTCTATAAAATCCCTTTAAAGCCATATTAATTATTAAGGAAACACATACAACAGATGTGTGCTGTCAGTGGTAAGTAATGCTATACAGCACAATGACATGGATAGAATATTCTGTCCTTTAGCTTGAAAATCTTTTCAAGTCAGTCACTTTTTTCATAAACAGTGTGTTTATAAACATGATGTTTTCTTCCAAAAGTCCTAAAATTACATGCAAGCCCTAAAGCATTTCAGATGAAAACCAAGTGATTTCAGCTAGGACATCTTAGGCCTCATGGATACTGCATTTCAGTTCCTGTGTTGCCAGGTATATAATAATTATTGTATTTGTACAATAATTTCAACCATTGTACAGTGTACAATCAATAATGGTAGAAGTCTTCAAAATGAACAATAATTTTTGAGGCAGTTAATTGATACAGCATCTGTAAAACCCAAGTCACTCTCAGGGGGTCTTAAACAACTTTTGGGTAGTTTTTTTTTATTAATATATTTCATGTTCTAGGTCAAATCAGTTCCAAATCCTATCAATTAAGCAGGCAGAACTCAATCATTCTAAACACCATATACGACCTACAACCAGCCAGCATCTTCCATCCCAGGCTCTCACTCTGGAACTATACCTTGGATACTCCAAAATCCATTGGCAGGCATCCTACATGCAGACCCATGCCCTAGAGGTCTTAGGATTCAGTTGCTCCCACACAATCTTAGCCCACACAAGGCCAAGAAGCCAATCTGGTCTACACTTGATCTGAGCCAAAAGGCCAAATATTAATATTATTATGATGGAAAATTTTTGATGTTCCAAGCCAAATCAATTCCATATCCGTGAGTCATTCAAGAACCATATATGGCCCTACTACTGGCAAAATTCCACCTCCCCACCTGGCACTTCAGGTGTTTCCAAATCATTTGGCGGGGTTCCTACATGCAGGCCCAAGCCCGGAGGTCTTGGGATTCAGATGCCCCCACTTGATCTTACCCCACAAGAGGCCAAGACACTCAATCTGAGCCAACTTTTTTTTTTTTCCCAAGAAATTTTTCGTGTTCCAAGCCAAATCAAGTCCAAATTCATGAGTCAGTCCAGAACCATAAATGGCCCTACAACCAGCAAACATTCTCAGGGGCTCCAGATATTTCCAACATCTTTTGGTGGGCATCCTACTTGCATTGCATCTCCAAGCCCAGAGGCTTGGGGTTCGGATGCCCCCAATTTTCACTTGCCCTCGGCCATAGGGCCGCAGAAGCAAGCTAGGGAGGCGCCTCCCGTTTCCATAAAGCGGGCTCTAAGCCCCAACACCTCAGCAGGGGCAGTTATCCCCAGGAACACTTAAGGAAATCTGCCTTCATAAACCCAGATACATGCCGTTTCCCCTGCCAGGTAAGTATTTTGCTGTCTGCAATTTCTTATGACTGCTTGCCTCAAAATAAATGCTTCAATTTGGATGACCCAGTTCTCACTCACTGAACCTTATAGTGAGCAATAAAAAGTAAATAAGACTAATTTGCATTCTTATTTGCATATTGATCTGCATATTTTCTAGTGTACGATAGTTTTTTTTCAACAAATACGAGGATTTCGAGGTTCCAATGCAATCGTTTGATATTTAAGACCTGGCAATGCTGCTTAGTTCCCTCCCAGCCCTGTGATCCTCTACGGCTGTGGAGGGAGGCTGCATCTTTCAGCATGAGCAGCCCCCGCCGGCCCAGCCGCGCTCCGGCCTCCGCGGCCCGTGGCTTCCCCTCAAGCCCCGTCCTGCCCCCACCCGGGCCCCGGCCCACGGCCACGCACCCGCACCGCGGAGGCAGCAGCGTGCCCCGGGGACGCTCCGCATGCAGGGGGCGGTTGCTGGGAAACGCAACGTCACGTAACGTACCGGGAGCGTCCGCCGCCCCGCGCTCGGCTGAGAAAATGGCGGCGCCGCCGCAGGGTTGAGTAGCCAAAGGCGGCGTGGGCGGCGACGGAAACCAAAATGCGCTGGCAGGGCGGGAACGTGACGGGAAGGGACGCGGAGAATAGGGAGCAGGAGAGTGGCGCGGGCGGGCGCGAAAGGGGAAGGGGAGCGTTTGTAGGGGTAGGGGGAGAGCCGCGTCCGCTGCAGCTTCCCGTTTTGTTTTGAAGCCTTTCTGTGTCATCGGCTCTATTAAAAGAAGGGAGGTCGGGGCTCGAATCGCCGGTGGACAAGGTGGCTCGGTAACAGCGGTTCCCAATGCTACATTTGGTAGGCTGCTGTGCTCTCTGCTTGGAGGACGCGCGGCCCTGCAAATTGCCCCGGGCTGGCAGCAGGCCCCTGCCCCAGGTACGGCCGGCTCCACAGACACCGGTTTTACAGGACTCCCTGTTTTACTCTTCTCAAGGTTTTAGATGGGCAGGTGCTGACTTTACAGCTGCTGCTACAATCCCTGTAACCAGCGGGCAATCCCTCTAAAGCCTTTCCCTGCAGTACCCCAGCTCAGCAAGCTGTCGCTCTCCCAGATTTAATGTATTAATTTCTACGGAGTGTAAATCCCCCTATGGCAGACGAGGTTCTTGGGGTAAATCCGATATCTTTTATTAGACCAATTCAAATAGTTGGAAAAATTCTTCTTGGCAAGCTTTTGGGCGCAAACACCCTTCACCACACTTTCTCAGCCTGACAAGGGGCCTTTGCGCCCAAAAGCTTGCTAAGAAGAATTTTTCTAACTACTTGAGTTTGAGTTAATCCGATATCTTTTATTAGACCAACTCAAATAGTTGGAAAAATTATTCTTCTTAAGCTTTCGGCCACAAACACCCTTTGCATCACGCTTCCTCAGCCTGACAAAGGGTGTTTGTGTCTGAAAGCTTGCTAGGAAGAATTTTTCCAACTATTTGGGTTGGTCTAATAAAAGATATCGGATTTACCCAAAAAACCTTGTCTGCCTATGTCCTTAGACCAACACAGCTACAACCTACACCCCTGAATCCCACCCCCATGGAGAGCTTATCTGTCTTGCTGATTGAACCAGCAAGGAGAGCCAACCTTCCCAGGAGCTCTGAAGAGTCCTTAGAAGATACAGGATCCAACTTCTGAGTCCATAATCCAGTGAGGTGAGGGTTGTCAAAAGAGGCTGGGAGCCTACAAGTTTATTCTGCAATATTCCATACTTGTGTACTAATAGATCCCCTTCCAGTTTGGGTATTAACACAATAAGAGAGTAAAAGTGATGTTGCAGCTGTGATGGTCCAGTAATGATGCAAGAAATGAGGATTTCTTAGGGTATCTTTTATTGGTTGGTCCTAAGAAATCCTTGTCTTTCAGACATTAACAGGACAAATTCTTGTGGTGTCCATTCATAAACATCTCCTCCAAAATTGGGAGTTTCTTTTTAACCCCCAAGGACCCAGTATTAAAAGCAGCAAATCAGACTAGTACCTAGGTTAAGGGCCCATCACCCAGATCCTGCTTCACCTTAATCCCTAATCACCAGAGGTAATAATATGCATATACAGATTTATTTCAGTAGGCTAGCCTACTGTATGGCTGTTGTGGATACATTACAATTTATTACAGCTTTCTGTTCAGTCAGAAGCTGACCAAAATTTCCATCTATTGACATTATTTTTCTGTAGGTGCCAGTCTTCATCAAAATTAAACTGAAGAGCTTAACAGGCTATAATTCTGATTTGTAAATCATTCTGGAGCTCTGTAATCAGTTCCTGATGCTTGTTGCTGACAGTAATGACTGAGGTTGCTGACCACTTCATATTAGGTACTACCTTTATTTTGTAGTGGTAAAGTAAAGTAATGGACATCAGCTAGAGATTACCAATGACATGCATATGTAGGAGGTTCTTCTGTTGACTGTCATTTGGGGAGAGGATTAGCAGAAAGTGATGCTTGCAGAATACCCAGGATTCATTCATTTTATAGGAACTGTTGTATGTATGCATGCATGCATATGAAACTAAGGTGTACTTTCAGGATGACAAAATCTTGGAATGGAAAGTGTTACTGTGGATAACTAATGGTGTGTGTGTGTTTTCTGTTTTTGAACTAATAAACTCTTGCCTCAGGTTTCCTATATTTGTATACAGCATACCCAGTGTCTTTCATCTGAAAGAATTTTCAGAGATATCCAAGCAGTGCTGTACAGTTGACATAATGCAGTGGCAAATGATTTTAAAGGTACACAAGAATTCATAACAGGGACAAGAAATATTTATAATTAAGATTTTTTTAATATAAAAATAGGCCTAAATCACTTGCATTTTACATATGATGGAACACCACAGAAATATTTGGTATGTGTAGACCTTAAGAGAATTTTGAATGCGTTAATAACTCAGACTTTAAATAATTTGAATACAAAAATTTACTAACATAATTCTGCTTCAACAAGTTCCAGATGTGTTATTCCACCCAATCAGTTTTTCAAAGGGAAATGAAAGTCATGATAATTATAATGGTTCTGTTACAGCAGGGTCCTACCGGAAAGCCATGATCTCCTTAAGGCCCCCTTCCTCCCTACCAAGTCAGCCCAAGGGCACCCTCTAATTCTTGCCCGCCACGTCCTTGATGTTTAAATAAGTTTGGGAGGCTGCCTTACACCCTCTTGGTCACTTCTCGGTGTTGATTCAGGCCCCGTGGTTTCCTGGACTCTTCGTGGGTCTCACTCTGATGGGTGCTTCCCGGGCACCCTAGCCTTATGGGCTATGCGTGGCTCCAACCACCCCCGATAACACACCCCAAGCCTCGCAGGTGGAATAGACGTTGGTCTGTCAGGCCTACACTCGCCCTCTCTCAGGGCCCTCTCTGTAGCACTGCCCTCTCTCAGGGCTCCTCTGCAGCGACACCCTCTCTCTGGGGCCTGCTCAGTAACGCTGCCCTTCTCTTCAGGGCCTTCTCCACAATGCTGCCCCTTTTCGGTAACACTGCCCCCTTCTCTGGGGCTCCTCAGGACTGCTGCCCCCTCTTCGGGCCTTCTCCGGAACGCCGCCCCTCTCCCGGGGCTCTCCATGCCCCCTCTGGGCCTTCTCCGGAACGCCGCCCCTCTCCCGGGGCTCTCCATGCCCCCTCTGGGCCTTCTCCGGAACGCCGCCCCTCTCCCGGGGCTCCCTGTGGCCGAATTGGGCCTTCTCAGTCAAACCACCCTCTCTCGGGGCTCCCCTATAATACCGTCCTCTCTCAGGGCTTGCCAGCAAGCTGTCCCCTTCTCTGGGGCTCACCACGCCCACACCAGGGCTTCTCAACCGCCCCTCTCTGGGGCTGGGGTCTAGGCACCCCATACACAGCGCCCTTACTGGCACTGGGGTCCCCACGCTGCTGTGGGTCCCCTATGAGGCCTCCTCCATCCCCTTATAGCCTCCCCCAAACCACCAGGGTAACAACAACGCAAAACACAAGCCCCTAAGCTATAACTTAACTTAAAGCCACCCAGCTGAAACCACATTGCTCACACATCCCAGAGCTGCCATCCTTTACCTGGCATGGGCTGTACCTGCAGTTCTCAGCTCTTTGCTCAAGGAGCTCCTTTCTCTCTAGCTGCTAGCAGAAAACTGCTCCTGGCCTCCTGCCTGTGATTTATATAGGAGCCAGGCCCTGCCCCTTTCAGTCAGCTGACCTCCTGGTTGCCCTGGCAACCCACAGCTGGACTCCTTATACCCTGCTAGGGCTCTTTCCCCAGCAGTTTCCCCTCTTTAGAAACAGGGCACCTTAGTGCCCTGTGACAGGTTCTAATCTACAGATAAATTCAAAGTCCAAACATATAGAGTATGCTGCCCAATATCTATTTGACTGGATATCAGAAATGTAGACAGAGTTTACCACTGAATTTCTACTTACACCGTTAGCATGATGCATCACATGGATGGGGTTCTCTGTTCACTCCCTGGAGCGAGCTGTTAACAGCAGGTTTGTTTACAACCATTTCCATCTTCTTTTCTTCTCCAGTTCCATCTCATAAAACCACCAGAGTTCATGATCTCTTGAGAGTACACTGCATGCAGAATTACCAGATAAATTCAGTGGGAGTTGTGGAGTTGGAGCACTTGCAGGTCTGGAACCTTTACTCCCACACTCTCAGTTCTCACTGAAGCCTTTCTACCTCTGACTCAGGCTCTTTTGTTTCCATCTCTTCAAGTGGTTTATGCTCTTATTTTCCCTGTCTGATGTTCTATGGCAGCAGTGAATTCCCCCTTTCCTTGCTTCCTCTTTTTAAGCTAATTTCCTGTTCAAAACAACAGTTTCCTAAGCAAGAACTGAGATCTTGATTATATTTACTTTAAAATGGGTTGAAAGCATCTTAAATATAATTAATCATAGATTCAGCCGTACCCTAAGACGTTACATATGATATGACACTAGAGGTATGACTTCTTAAATCACAACAAAACCCATCAATGAGCCACTGAGGTAGAGATCTTCCTCAAATCAAGGGATTATGAGGGATGTGACTCTTTCCAAAACTTATATTGCCAGCAATTGATTTTTATAAGAAAACTGCTGGTTTTAAACACTCTAGCAAAGAAATATCCTGCTGAGACCCAGAGAGCCAAATGTATCCTATTCTCAAGATTTATCTTTTTTTTAAAAAACATACACAGGTTCTTTGTTTATTCCAGTTATTCTGTCATCAGATATGACGGAAGATGTCCTGATTTCTGTTTTCAGGCCAGAGAACCCAGTAATTCTCTCTTGGATAAACATTTATCTTTTGTTGTTTGTCAGTATATATTCCTTCTAACCTGGAGCTATAAGTGAATCTTCCTTTTAGTTTTGTACTATTACTGGGGATGACAACAATAGTGCTACAATTAATAAACTGCTTTTCATTAAATTGATAAAAATGACCGGTGGTCTGGGAAAGGTGTCCAGCTAATTAACATTAAGGCTTTATTTTCTGAAAAGGAGTCTACCATGGAAATTGCCAAACATCCTAATCTACTGATAACTTTA